TGTTGTTTATGTTCTTCTGTGTTTGGTTTAGTTTGCTTTTTTTTGTCAAACCTGTGTTTTTAAAATGTGCTATATAAATAAAGTTATTATTATTATTATTATTATTATTATTATTATTATTATTATTATAATAATAATCATTTTTTAATCTCAAATATGATGAATCGATGCGCCTGTGTTCGATCTACTCTGCCTGCCGTTTTGTTCCTGCGATCCTCTTGTACTGTCTGAAACATCCCACAATCCTCTGCGCTTCAAGATACTTGCCAGTCATTGTTGGTTAGCGATCAGACAGAAGAAGAAATACAAACTTTCCCCTCCCCGAGGTGACTGCAGGTTTTTAAAATCACGTTTCTGGGGCTGAAGGAGTGTTTTTGTGTCTGAGCTTGTTTTGTTCTTCCAGACATCATGAAGGAAACAGCGGCCAAGCGGCGGGACAAGGCGGGAGGCTCCAAAGCCGAGAAGCCCAAAGAGTCGGGCCCGGAGCCGCAGGACGTGGAGATGCCGGAGGAAGAGGGGGCCAATGCGGCGAAGCAGCCCAAAGAGCTGGACAGCCTGACTCTGGACGGTAACAACCACAACATGTCTTTATAACCTCGTAGAGTCCCGGAAACAAAAAAGAGGGCTGAGGGTCAGAATAGTTCTTTAAAGTCCACTTTAACGGCGGCTAGCCTGTTAGCACACACGGCTAACACACAGCGTCATGAAGGGAGCAGACAAAACCAGAAATAAATCAAAGGAAGAAGTTTAATCGTTGAAAATATTGACGTATATAGAATTAAAGTTAAATACAGGTTGATTAAACATTGCATAACAAAGCGCTGAGTCTCTACAGAAAGTATAAGTTAAGTTCCAAGTGGTTAATTGAAGATATAAACAATATACTAAAATATAAATATACACAAAGTGCTGAGGTGAACAGTGTAGATATTGTGACGTCATGCTCAGTGTCAGTAAACACATTGTTGACCGGTTTGCAGAGAGGTTGCTCAGTTGCAGTAAACATTTTACAATTCACACATTTCCAGTTGACAATGTGTTTAACTTACTCGACTTGAGATGTGATGTATTGTTGTTGGAAAGAAACATTACGACTTAGTTTAGCTTGCTGTCGAGGTGCGCGATACGGAAAAATATCATGTCACGATTTTCTTTTTCGCAAAATCACGATTTTATCTCGATTTTTTTTTTTTTCATACTGTTCTTTTAGACAAATTTGTAAGTTGCTGACCAGTTCAACCAAACTGTATAATGTTTTTAAATGCACAAAAACTGCGCTGACAAGTTTAATCTATTTGAAAAACATCTTTGTAGGAGGTCTGGAGGTCTCTCACCCAGAACAGCTTTAGCATCAGAAATGTCTTTCCCTCAATTTGATCAATATTTATGAACAATTTGAAGGTTTTCTTCACCACTTTGAAATTATGATTTTTTGTTCATCAGGAACATTTTCACGCACTGATGCATTCATTTAAAAACATGTAGACTTTGAGTTCTTGTGTTTCTGTTCTATTTTAGCCCTGCAGAGTTCCTCCAGCTGGAGCTTCATACAGGCTCTGCAGCATTTGTTTTTGTTTTTATGACATCATTGGACTAACTTTAGTTTAGTTTCTATATAATCAAACATAATACAGAATGTGTTCATTCTGTGACACATGATCAAAGTAAGTTTTACTGACAGAAGAGTTTAATTCATAGAGGGGGCGGGACATTGTTGATTGACAGACAGACAGTCACCATGGCTACTCACTCTCACCTGCCTGCTGCTTTGTAACATCGTTTAGTGTAATCCCTATAGGTTCCGTTATCACAACAGGTGAGCTTCGGGTGCAGAAGCTTGATAAGTAACTTTTAAAAACTGAGAGAGAGCAGAAAACACCGACAGCTACATTTTAAACACCGGGGTTATATCTCCCCTGGCTGTCTGAGCTCTGCTCTGTCTGTCTCTTACTGTTAACGTCTCTCCGGCTCGTTAAACGGTTTCGCTATCCGAGATGTAAACTTAACTGTGCACACTATGCAGATAAGTTAACTGTTGCTCACGCCGTGTCGGTTTGGAAAAATATCAGAACAGTTGCATATAACTGAGAGGGAGTTGTTTTTGCAGACTTTACTTTTAAGTTTTCGTTTTCACCGCGGCGGAACAAAAAAGGGGGAGGCTCGTCTGTGTCGGAGCATAAACTGCAGAATGATAGAATAAACACATAAGCCCGGTTCTATGATCTCTCTGCTTTGGCCGATCGTCAGCAAGTTAAAATCCTCATGATCTAAGATCGTTATATCACCCACCACTAGCTTGCTGCATCGACAGCTTCTTCTTTTTAAAATAATTTCAAGCATTCAGGCTGTACTGAACTAGAAGTATCCTCAACCAATCAAATATGGCCATTTCCTTCGAGTGTATAGTGATGTGGAAGTGATGCTTAAATGTCTAAAATCGCAAATAAGCTTCTGTGTCTTTCTGTGGTCACTTACTCTCTGTCTTGTGTTGTTCTATTTCTCCTGATCCTCCCTGATCTCCTCCGTCTCCTCTTCTCATCAGACATTAAGGAGCATGTGAAGCAGATAGAGAAGGCCGTGTCAGGGAAGGAACCCCGCTTTGTGCTTCGTGCTCTGAGAGCGTTGCCGTCCACCAGCCGTCGTCTGAACACCAACGTTCTACATAAAGCCTTCTTCGGCTTCTTCACCAACAACACCACCACCAGAGACTTCCTGCTCAGCTTCTTGGAGGAGGTAAGAATCCTGTCACCATAAATGATTCATTTAATATTGATCACCTGCTGATTATTCTTTGTCAAAACATCTCAGACGGAAATATGCTCATCCCAGGGGATATTGTCCAAACTGCTTCTGTAGACTATTATTGATTTAATTAATACATTCATATCTGTGCGTGTCTTTCTGTCCGTCAGCCCATGGAGATGACGGATGCCGGAGACATCCAGTTCCGTCCCAGGACGGGTAAAGCTGCGTCAGCTCCCCTGCTGCCGGAGGTGGAGGCTTACCTGCAGCTGCTGCTGGTGGTTCACCTAATGAACAACAAGAGATACACCGAGGTCTGTCTCTCTGCCGAGCTGTCTTTTATCCAAGTTTGATGCTTCATTAAGGAAATCAATCTTAAAACAATGCTTTTAAGATGCTAAGAATGTTTGCTGCTGCTGCTACTGATAATGATGACGGTGCTCTGATGTGCGTTTCAGGCTCAGAAAGTATCAGACGACCTGCTGCAGAAGATCGGCTCAAAGAACCGCAGAGCTCTGGATCTGGTCGCTGCCAAGTGTTACTATTATCATGCCCGTGTGTACGAGTTCCTCAGCCAGTTCGACACCATGCGCAGGTACACACACGCTCACACACACACACACAGTCTTACACAGTGACACACACCAGAGCTTCATGAAGAGCTGAAGCATCCTCTTAATTAAGCATTTGGGAATTTTAACCATCACACGTTAGGAATATTAATTTATCTGTTGTTTTTATCTGCTAAGAACTCACGGAAGCCGCTTTGTCTGTCTTCAGTTTCCTCCACACTCGTTTGCGTACAGCGACTCTACGTCACGACGCTGACGGCCAGGCCGTCCTCCTGAACCTGCTGCTCAGGAACTACCTGCACTTCAACCTGTACGACCAGGCCGAGAAACTGGTGTCCAAGTCCGTGTTCCCTGAACTTGCCAACAACAACGAGTGGGCCCGATACCTTTACTACACAGGTGAGACTGTTACTTGTCTTA